CCAGCAGAAGAGGTGGCCGCTACGAGGGCCTATAGGCCACGTTCTTCCTGACCTGTTTTCTTGGACCTGTGCAATTATTTTGTTTTGCTTTGTTTTGTTTTCAATTTGAATTTCAGTGTCTTTAAAAAGGGCACAAACTCTCCAGGTCACTGCTAATCCCTAAATACACCCTTCCCAGGCAGCCCACTTGGCTCATTCTGTGTTACCTAACAACCCTGTGGGCTCCTGACCTTTCAACCTCTAGCGAACAGAAAATTCTCCTTAGTTAACAGCCTCAGAGTCAGCTTTAGATGCTGAAGTTCCAGGGCCCTTGGAGAATGAAAGAAGGTGGATCAAAGAGTAACCAGCAGCTAGCTCAGTCTATGAGATATTTTAAAAATCTGACTAAGCCATTCCTGGGCCTCCTCATTCTGCATTTTCTTTTTTTTTTGAGACGGAGTCTTGCTCTGTCACCCAGGCAAGGGTGCAGCGGTGTCAGCCTAGCTCATAGCAACCTCAAACTCCTGGGCTCAAGTGATACTCCTGCCTCAGCCTCCTGAGTAGCTGGGATTACAGGCATGCGCCACCATGCCTGGCTAATTTTTTATATATATATATATTTTTAGTTGTCCAGATCATTTCTTTCTATTTTTTAGTAGAGACGGGGTCTCGCTCTTGCTCAGGGTGGTCTCGAACTTCTAAGCTCAAGTGATCCTCCTGCCTCAGCCTTCCAGAGTGCTAGGATTATAGGTGTGAGCCACTGCGCCCAGCTAGTTCTGCATTTTCTATCAGATGCCTGTACCTGGTGGGCCCTCTGCAGGCTACTTACCGGGTGGTACAACCGCCACATAGCAAATCCCATGAGGTTCTGCTTTGAGTTTATATCAACATAGATCCTGTCTTTTCTCAGCTTGTTTTCATCAAAACATTACTTAATTTGAGCTGATTTGGGCTCTGGGAAGAAAAGGGGAGAAGGCAGTCATTACCTCACTGGTTGCACTTAATTTTATTGCACCTAACAAGTTCAAAACATTCTGGAGATTCATTCATCTTCCTTCCTCTCCTCCTCACGCTTTTCTTTCCTTTCCCTTCCTTCTTTGACTCCCAACCCCAAGTGATGTATAAGCGGAGGGGATGGTGGTTGGGTAGGAGTGAGAAACAGTGTAGATGTTTATTTTATTCAGCACATTAAATGCCACCTCTGTGTTTGCTAAAACATAGAAGGTTCTGTAACCTCTGGTTGTGTCCCTGGAGTACATTTAAAGTCACAAAAGAAGTATGGTGCAGTTTTTTTTTTTTGAAGGAAATCCCATTTGGTCAATGGTCAATCATTTAAAACCGTAATAGAACCAGCAAATGTGTTATGAAACAGAAAGCAAAACTCATTTTTTAAAAACGATAAAACACAGGATTATAAAGACATTTATTTCCTGCTTGTCGCAGGCTTCTTGCATATGTTTCCCTGGATCCCATGGGACTGCTTTAAACTCCCGTTTACTGTTAGGAATATTTGGGTGAAAGTTTGAGAAACTGTGAAATTCTGGCAAAATTTTCTACAAAACAGTCTGCTTTTATATCTGAGAGGAGTATTTCTTTATTTCTGGGGTTCATGGAATAAGAATCATGTAGCCTTTGGCTGGACACTGAAGTCTGTTCCTGGGCTTGCCAAAAAGGCGTGGGTTGAATCACTGGACTTGACTTCGAATTCCCATTCAGAGACCAATGGGATTGTAAAACTTTTGCTGCTGAGCCCATTTCTTGTAAATGTCTCCACATATTTAAGAATAAGTAGTTTAGCTCTCTGAGTGTTGGTTTTGGGGTTCCGCCTGCACTGCCCCAGCACAGTTGTCCTGCTTATATAGGAGCAGTGTCAAGCATTTGCATGTTCTCCTTTCTGCGTTTGTCGGAAAGTAAATAAGCAGCAGTAAAGAAGCTTTATTATGCATGTTTTCTGCCTTGGGTGGCACCTGGAATTTGCTGAGTGCAACTTAAATTTTAAAAGGCTCCTGAGCCTCACCTTTTTCATGCTGTGCAAGTCAAATGGAAAACCAAACAGTCAGCGTAAGCAAATTGGTGGGTCTTTTCTCTTGGTCTCAACTGACTCCAGACCCTGTTGTGAAATTACAATACTTTTTTTCTCCCCTTCCAGCGGTTAAGTCTTCAGAACTAGACTTAAACGACTATCTCCTCTCCTCCTCTCAGATAATAGCCAACAAGCGATTTTGCATATTACCTAGGACATTGTGATACTAAAATTTTGTATGCCAAAAAAACCCCTAAAACAAACAAAAAACACTTATATCCACTGATTTTCTGGGACATCTCATTTACTTTCTATTGGTCATACTAGAATTTGAAAAATGACTTTAAAATAATGATGCGATTTTCACGTGCCGTGTATAGACTGTCACTGATGCCGACCAAGGGCACTTTGTCAAGGTTGCCTCCCACTAGCTTGTACATGGAGTTGAAACAGGGAATGGAGCGAAGCAGAATGGAATAAGAACAAATGTGAAGTATTAAATACCAAGCATATTGCACTTTCTGTCAGTGACTCACCCCAGAATGGGACTCTGTCTTAGATCCCACAAATTTCTGTTAAATCTTTCTAAGTGAGAAGCTTAATTATTGTTAGGTTTAGGGAAGAAAATCAGTAGCATATCTTCCCAGTGATACTATGTTTTGGTAATAATCTCTAATTTTGGAGAAGGCAGCATGGTGTAGTGAACAAAGCCTCAGCACTGGACTCAGACAGGCCAAGGTTTAAATGCCAGAGTCACCATTTATTGGCTGTGTACAGTCAGATATGTGTTACAGACCTCTCCTTTGCCTCATTTTTTTCATCTGCAAAATGGGAAATGATTGCAAGGAATAAATGAGACAGCAGATGTGAGGACCAAGCCCAATTGCAGGCACACAATACATGTAAGTTTCCCTTCCCTTTTTAAGTCAGGAGTTTGAATTATGAACATAAAGTATCTTCCCACCAAGAGCTGACTCTGAGGGCACTGTTCCTACAAAGGGAGCTCTTGGTGGCCTTTTGTTGTGACGGTTGATTGCATACATCTGGAAACTCTGACAATGGTTTTGCTTTGAGCTCAGCTTGGTCCAAATGTAGCTCTATATAAGGCAGCTTCTATCCTTCAGTTTTTCCCAACACATCATAGCTTGGCTTGAATTTGGGCAGAGGGGTGGGTGCCAAAAGAAATGTACAATGTCTGGGAAAAATTCAGATTCAACTAACAATTACCCAGACCTGTATGGCCCCACTGGGGCACTGCCCCTGGATCTTTTATGTATATTCTCTCCTTGAAAATGCATTAGGAAGCTTCATTATGATGCTTACTTTGCAGATGCTTCCAGTGAATCTGGAAATGACTTTCCCAAGGTCACAAAGATAATATGGCATGGAGTTGAGATAAGATCCCAGGAAGAAAGCAGGGCAAGAGGATTTGCAGTGTTGGAAGATCAGCAGCTGTAGCATCTGCATGCCAAAGTCTACTTTGAGTTGATACCATCTGCAGCAAGTAATGGACAGTGAGAGAAGGGAGGTTGCAGGTAAGTTTCTTTGGCCTTTAGAAATCCTATGTCCAGGCCCTCTGTCCATTAAGTCACATGTCGACTGGGGCAGGTAGTGAGATATGGTAGTTAAATGTGCCATGTAAACAATATCTGATCACTAATTTTGAAAAACAGTTGGCAAAATGCTTGTGATTTGGGGAGGTTGTTTTATGTTGATGATTCAGAAGATATTTTAGGACCAACATTAATTGTCATGCATTTATTCAATGAATATTTATTAATCCACTTATGTGTATCAAGCACTGTTCTGGATGCTTGGGATACAATAACTCTTGAGTAAAATGCTTCAAAATGCCATCTGTTATAACTGATTGAGTAGTGATAAATTAAGAATTTGAGGGGGAAAAAAGGCTAAAAAATAAAAGCTCTTTTGTTAATTGTTGAAAGAAATACTGAGCAATTCTAAAGGCAATTCCTTTGTGCACTTATTTGGTAACTTTTCTCTTTCTTTTCCATTTTACTCTTGCTCTCTGGTTAACAGGAGGACCCCTTTGTTCCCAGGAGGCAATTGTGGGTCCCAGTACATCCTGCATTACCTCTTCCTGTGCCCACCTCCAAAAGAGGGCTACCAGAGCACCGTGAGTTTCAGCACAGCCCCAACTGGATGATAAACAGTGAGAGTAATATGCCGCTAGGGGTTAAAAAAAAAACAAAAAAACGAAAAACCCCTAGAATACCAGAATGTAGTATTTCAACTTCTCTCCCTCCAAATAGAAAGCCTAGTGAATGAAGTTATGACCATTACTCAAGTGCAATTATACTGACTATGTAGAATTTAAACACTAAAAAGTAAATCATACATTTGGATATCACATTTCATATTTGAGAACACGCCAGAAAAAATTTATTATTGTTGAGTGGAGTGTCAGGAGACAAACTTCTACAAGTTTTCTACATAACTTTTTCCATTTTATCTGTTTCCCATTTACGTCAAGTTGAACACATGGTGTGATTTTTAATATTCTCTCTTCCTTCTCCTTCCCCACACTGAATACCAAGTGATCAAACTCAATCGTCATTATCCTAAATTTACCCTTAGGTAACCTCAGACCAAGAGGACTTTTTAATCAGGATGGAAAAGGAACGAGGAAGACCCTCCAGATGGACCCATAAAACCGGTCCTATGGATGCTAACAAAGGCCTGGAAAGAACCGCGAGCGCCAGTGAATCATGTAAGAGAAGACAACTGTGGCTACAAGCTGTTCTTGCCAGCTCAGGTCTCCATTACCTCGTGGAAAGTGGGTAATAAACCGAGGGAACTGTGGATTATAGGGTAAATACGATCTCGCAGATGTGCTGGCCGAGCGAGGAGAGGCCCCCCCACCCCGGCCAGCTCCAGGGAGCAGCCTGGCGGTGGCCGCGGCCGGCCGTGGGCGAGGGGACGCCCCGCGCGGCTCCGGGAGGGGGCGCCCGCGCGCGTGCGCAGTGGCGCCGGTGCCGTTCTGGTAACAGCCGCGGCGGCAGGATGGCCTCCGGCTTTAAGAAGGCACACGCTGTCTCCGCCAGCCAGAAGAAAAAAGTGGGTCCTAAGCCTGAACTCACTGAAGAACAGAAGCAAGAAGTCCGGGAAGCGTTTGACCTCTTCGACTCGGACGGCAGCGGGACCATCGACGTGAAGGAGCTGAAGGTGGCCATGAGGGCGCTGGGCTTCGAACCCCGGAAGGAGGAGATGAAGAAGATGATCGCCGACGTGGACAAGGAGGGCACCGGGAAGATCAGCTTCAACGACTTCCTGGCCGTGATGACGCAGAAGATGGCCGAGAAGGACACCAAAGAAGAAATCTTGAAGGCTTTCAAGCTCTTTGATGACGACGAAACCGGGAAGATCTCTTTCAAGAACCTGAAGCGTGTGGCCAACGAGCTGGGCGAGCACCTGACGGATGAGGAGCTGCAGGAGATGATCGATGAGGCCGATCGCGACGGAGACGGCGAGGTGAGCGAGGAAGAGTTCCTTCGGATCATGAAAAAGACCAACCTGTATTAAAGTCAGTTAAGAGAGAGGTTAAAGTGACTCGCTGGGTTCCTCGCTTCCATTTTGGGATACCTCGACTTAGAGGACAGCGGCTGTCGGTCCCTTCTCTACCCCCTCTATTTGTTTATATCTATTTCCAAATCTCTAACTCAATTATAGTATTTGACAGATGCTTGTAACTGAGTTTTGTTTTTTAACTCTCAAGAGCAGACCTGGAGCACATGAAGTTAAACAAAGGGCCCTGAAGCTTGAGTCCACTCACCATTTTCCCTGCACTGGACTTGCAGTGACATCCATTGAACTGGCTGCGGGACAGCTTCTTGGGACAAACAAAAATGTGGTTCCCTTCTCACTTCTTTGGTCGTCTTAAATTATCTTGCTTTATATACCATTCCTTAAATTCCAGTAATTTCTCTAGCCTAATGAGGTGGGATCTGCCTTCGGTCCCCCTCGCTGGTTTGCTTAACTGATTATTGGTTTGAAGGAAAACCGTGTGGCCATTTACAAACTTATTGGGCTCAAGACTGATGCCTTCTAAAGTTTAGGCTTGCCTTAGGTGGTGGTAAATTGTGCAATTTAGACTATTCTCTGGCTTCACACATGCAAATGATTCTTCATTTGTGTGTAAATTATCTACTGGGGGTTACCCTGAGCTAATATGTATACCTGGGCTACAGAATAGAAATAAATTTATTATTGGCCCAAGCAAAGTAAAATTTGCTTAAGGGATTATGCTAACTAATAATTTTTAGTAAAGATTTACAAATGTAAGATCTTAGTTTAGGAAATTATAACAAATATTGTAATATTAATAACAGTTTAAGCTACTTATCAGTCATTGGAAAGATCAACTAATATTTTAGTTATTAGACTACTGTAATGTAACCTTAGTCATCTTATTACTGCTTAATTACAAGCCACTATCTCCCTGCTAATTCTTGGTTCTTGGTATTTTGATTTTTTTCACCTCTGATACGTAGTTGATGTCAGAGGGTCTGGCATATAAGAAGTTCTCTATTTTAAATCCAAGTAAACTGTTTCACTGCAGCTTGTGTATGTGCTAACACCATTTGTTTTCTGTTATAAATTAAGCCTTTCTTGCTTTGAAATAAAAGGAGATATTGAATATCTTTTGAATATCTCTTTTGAATACAAATCTGAAGTTAAAGAAAATTTAAATAACGCAATCATAAGAACATAATATAAATCTATCCACTGAGATGGAAGCTTTGACCAATGTTTTGACAATAGGCAACGAAACTATTAAAGAGGCAAGATATTTTGGTCACAACAAAACCTAAATTAAATCATTATACAAAGTCTCATTAAGATAAATGCTCAAATTCTGGAAAATTTTTCACTTGCTTTGCCAGCAATTTTACCCTTCAGAGGGTGGTGGATGTAATCAGGGAAAGTACTACTCTGAGCTTAATTCTCATTAACAGGGACCAATTTGTCAAAGCAGCGGTGCTAGCTAGCTGAAGTGATGGGTATATAAGCATTCACTGCGAGAGAGGATTTTGCCAAAGTGGCTGGCACAGGGCAGGGGAACTCACCCAGGCTGCAGATGCTAACAGTGCAGGTTTAAGGTCTTAGTGTGGACTCAGGTGCAGTCGTAGTGGGAACAGATGCAACTTGGGCAAGCATCAGCGTGAAGGCAAGGGGAGAAGTGGAGCATTTTGGGAAGCAAGAGTTCCGGGCATCCTGGTGACCAGTCTTGGCCCAAGGATTGACGTATGAATTAAAGTAGAAATACCAGAAACAAAGAAAGTTGGCAGAAACTAGGAGAAGCAGTCAGAGTCTCAGCCAACTGGACTGGACTCAGCCTTGGCTCCTGGCCCAGTGGAGGATAGAAAAGAAAACCAGGAACCTGAGCCAAAGCTCAGCGGTCGGGCTGGCCACACATGGGGTCTGCAGCATAGTAATAAAAGGGGTGCCCTGAGGGCAAAATCCATCCCAAACAAGGAAAGGGGGCCCTGGAATATTTCTGAATCCCACTCACTGACAAGGAAGAACCTCTCAAAGCACTTACTGATGCATTCATCTGCTTCCCAATTGGCTCATACTCTGGAGAAGGATAGGGTCAAGGGTGGAGAGGAGGATCGACTAGAACAAGCCTAAACTAGCATGAAGAAACATAGCAAGAAAGGTTGGGAAGAATTAAATGTAATTTTCATAGGTATCAAAACTGGTCCCAATAAAGAAGAAGTAGGAAACATATCAAAGAAACCCATGGGATGTGTAGGGACCTCATGGAAGAGCTCTTGCTTTCTAATGATCTATGTGACAGATGAAAAGCAGACCACAGGGCTAAGGGTGAAATCGTATGACAGTATCAGGGTTGTACTAATGAATTATTAAGAAAGCTAATGCCCCAAATAAGCAGAGGACATTAAAGGGACTTTTTCCCCCTAAGGATATCTTCGTTACATTCAAAATAAGAAGATACAGGAAGGGATAGGTCCAACTCTTGAGATTGTTGCGGGTGGGTTTCCATGGGAAGCAGACTCTGAGTCTGAGATTTGAATGCAGGAATTAATTCGAGTGTGGTTTTCGGATCACCTGGGTGGAGGAGGGAAGAAACCAGGACTGGGCAGAGAGAGAAGCTGGGTTATGACCAAGTTACAACAAAGGCCTCAGCTCTGGGGAGCTGAGGAGCTCTGGAGCTAGGATGACTGGCCCCAAGATGTCCCAAATTGGGACAAGGAAGTTGAGCTTTTAAAGTTTATCACTGACTGACAGTCACTGGGCATGAGCTGTTCCCAGGAAGGAGGGATGACCTCCAGCAAGGTGGCCCTCTTTGACAATCACTGGGAGGGTCAACCCAGCTACAAAGGGCCAGGTATCCCCACTTGCAGCACCTGGGGGTGTGACTGCTTCAATTCTAAAGTGTAGGGCCAGGGGGTGGGAGTATGGGCAGCAGAATCTGAGCAGTGCCCTGTAGCTTCCACTACAATCCACCTCTTGTCCACCACTTAGATCCACTGGCTTTGTGTAAGTTCTGGGAGAAGCTAATGCAGGATTCTAATGAACCTGTCTTCCTGAGGGAACCTTTTGAAAGGAAAGTTAGAGGGACAAACCTCAGCCCCTGCCACAGCAACTGGTTTCTAGGACACAAATGGTGCCCATGTTCTCCCACAACTATCTGATCTAGTTGCCCCTTCACCCTCGGCACCTCTGCCGATACTGGCAGCTTACCAGGTGGGATGACCCAGAGTCCCCAGCCACCCTACCCTCTCAGACTGCGGCTGCTGCACTTGTTTCCTTTACCCTCAAAATTGAGTGAAGGTGTACCGAGAGACACTCGAGTGTATTATCTGGGCTCCAAACATGTTCTTCCCATACCCTTCCTGCAGCTCCACCCCTCCTGATTTTGTGTGTAAGCATGGGTGGTGATTCCTTTCCTTGACTGTTGCTCTCTCAAACATGAGAAACCTATTAATATCATGATTGGGTTGGACACAGTTTGAAATTTAATTGGACTCTTGTTGTGCCCACCGGTGGGAGTATTCCCACTCTAGGGCCAAGATCTCTAAATGTACAGAGTCCAAAGTTGTGGGCATGGAAAGCCCAAATTAAAGAGTAAATGACTGGGAGTTGTAGTAAGAACCACTTCCACCCCTGGTTTTCTGGACTCACGTGTTCTACCTAAGAGATCTCACACCATATAATAGTCATTGATTTAGAGTATAGCTACATCCTGGAGTATTGGCACCACATGCTCCCTGGTTATCATGTCAAACCTGGCCCCTCAGGGGCATGTTCAACAGGCTTTTCCATTGCTCTATGAACATGGTATAGGATCAGTGGATTTCATGGTCGTATGCCCATGTGAAGAGCTGCACATTTTACACTTTCCTGTAAAGTGGGTCCTTTGGTCCAATGCAATATTATGTTAGATCTTGTGTCAATAGAATAAATACTCAGATAAGGTGCTGGCTGAAGCTCTGCAAGTAGAAAAGGCAAGCCTGTGACTGAAATAAGTGTCAAGTTCAGTCAAGATGAGTCACTGCTCCTTTCCGGTTAGAAGGGTTCCAGTAAAGACCACTGGGCACTAAGAGGCCAGTTGGTTTCCTCGAGGGATGTACTGTTCTGCGTTCATCATCCTTGCTGAATAAGAGCCCCCGCTGTTGGGCTCACACACAGCCTTCGTCTCTGCCACAATGACTACTCCATTCATGTGCCTATTGTGGCACATGTTGCTAGGGTGGCCATAATCACTGAATACATTGTTGCTATTATTATTTTGAACAAATTGTTATCTATTAGAGCAATTAAAATTAAGAAAAAATATAAGACTTTATTTTACTTTTATTCCATCTCTAATGCTATTCTTTAGGTAGATCTGAGTTTCTGATATATATTAATAAAATTTTGCTTCTCTCTTGAAGAATTTCTTTTAACATTTCTTGCAAGGCAGGAAATTCCCTCGTTTTTGCTTGTCTGAGAAAGTATTTGTTTCTTTTTCACTTTTGAAGGATAATTTCATTGGGTACAGAATCCTAGGTTAGTGTTTTTTTTCTTTCAACACTTTAAATATTTATTCTACTTTCTTCTTGGCTTGCCTGGTTTCTGAAGAGAAGTCCGATGTAAATCTTGTCCTTGTCTCTCTCTATAGGTAAGGTGTTTTCACACCTCTGGCTTCCTTCAAGAATTTCTCTTTGTCTTGATTTTCTACAGTTTGAATATGATATAACTATGTGGAGATTTTTGGGTATTTATCCTGTCGGATGTTGTCTAAGCTTCCTGGATCTGTGGTATGTGTCTGTCATTAATCTGGGAAAATTCTCAGCCATTATTACTTCAACTATTTCTTCTGTTCCTTTTTCTTTTTTGTATCGTACCAAATTTTTATTGATACATAATATTCGTGCATATTTATGATATTTTGTTACATGTATACAATGTGTGTAATGATCAAGTCAGGATATTTATATATCCGTCTCCTCAAATGTCCATCATTTCTATGTGTTGGAAACATTTCAAGTCCTCTCTTCTAGGTATTTTAAAATGTACAATACATTGTTGTTAACTATAGTCACCCTTCTCTGCTATCAAACATTAGAACTTATTCCTTCTATCTAACTATGTGTTTGCACCCATTAACCTATCTCTCTTCATCCCTTCCCCACCCACACACCCTTCCCAGCCTCTGGTATCTATCATTCTACTC